CTGCATGCACACAAAAACTTATACCCAGAATTAAACTTTATTGGTCTTAAAGGTGCCACTGGACTCAAACGTTGTTCTGTGGCTTCAGTCAAACATGGCTACCCACCAGGAAGTGGACTAGCATGGCTAGTTAAAACATTCTCAAGCTCTGCTGCAGTAGGGGACCAGGGGATTAAGCCAAGGGGTTCCAGGAGAAGGTGGCTTTTGAGGAAGTGTTTAAAGGCAGAGTCATGGCACCCAGTAGGTGACCCAAGGCAGAGGAACACTTTCAGGGCAAAATTAGAAGAAAGGGAGATCAGCTAGGAGACTTTCAGGCAGCTCAGGCTAAACAAAGTATGGACAAGCAAGCAGAGTGTGAACTGAGCATTTCTAATCAAAGAAAGTTTGAGTCCAGTGGCACCTTTAAAGCCAACTGTACTGGCCCAGCCCTCCCAGGGAGCAGGTATAGAAGGGTTAGGGGGGGGGGGGGGGAGAGAAAGACAGTAATTAGAGTCCAGTCCAAAGTCAGAGCTTCTAGAGAGCAGGTTTAACAAAGCCCATTCTAGGGTCAAGGAGTTCCAGGTAGTGAGTCCAAGTGCATTCCAGGGTCAGGGTTTCCAGAAAAGCCGGTTGTCAAATCCAGTTCAAAGTTGCAGAGGTCTGGTGACAGAAAAGTTGGTGGCTCAGTAGCAAAGTATACTCGTTCCATCCACAAACTGCTGTTGCTCCTGACTTCATAGCCAAGTCTTAACAAGCTACACTCCCAGCCAATTCCTTGGCAGTCATCCTGAAACTACTCATCTATCTCATCAGTTGACAGCTGACAACAGGCCACGAGTCTCACACTCTTCCTTTCCTACAACTCAGCTTGCCTCTGACAGCTTGGCGCTGCAGGGGTGTAGGTGAGCTAGGTGGGCTGGAAGTGGCTTCTGAAGACTTGTTTACTGCTTCAGAGCTATATTGGTTCAGTTTCAGCTGTAGGCTGTGACGTCTGCTTAGCCAGTAACTTGACCTCTTGTTGCTCTTCTCCTGGCTCAGAGCCAGTTGCAGCCGGTTGTTCAATTACTGGCTGAGGGCCAGCTGCAAGTAGCTCTTCATCTGCAGAATTTGTGCTGTCACTGAGTACAGACTGACTTACAACACCAACAAAGTTCTATTCTGGGTATGAGCTTTCATGTGCACACAGTTACCTTAATATGCTTAATTAGCATAACAAATACAGGGCCCAGAATCCAGCTTTCCTTAGTTAAGAATTTTGGTTAAATACACCCCTGTGTAGCATAGTCAGGGCTATTCTTGGGCAGGAACACACAGGAACGGAGTTCCAGCTGGCTTCAGAGTTGGCCTTTGCCCACTACAGCCAAAACCTCTGAGTGCGTGGCTACAGAGGGAAGGCCTGGAGAGTAACACACACATCTCGGCGACTCCGAGCCAGGTAGGCCGGGGGGGGGGGCTGGAAGGATCGAGGAGGCATTTAAATGCCTCCACATGCCTTCCCCGGCCTGTCTAAGGGCCGGCTTGCCTGGGCTCCCCGCAGCCGCAGGATGCCCGAGCAAGCCAAGGGAAGGCAGTTTAAACTGCCTTCCCTTCAAGGGGAGGCTTGCCCAGGCTCCCCAAGGGAAGTCATGGGGGTGTGGCCTAATATGCCAATGAGCTGCGCTGTCAGGGGTGTGGCCTAATATGCTAACGAGTTTCTGCTGTCAGGCGTGGCCTATTATGTTAATGAGTTCCTGCTGGGCTTTTTCTACAAAAAGAGCCCTGAGCACAGTGTTACATGTACCACTTGGCACACAATCCCTTGCCAAGACAAATCAATTTTAATTTCACTGACAGTTGAGCAAGTTAGGGTTCAACAGATCCAGTCGATACTTATGGATGGAATGCCCAAGGAAATGGAAGGAAATTTGATCCTACCTACTTCCTCAACAAATGGAGAGCAGTTGCCGCATAGTATAAATAAGGGAGGTCCAGACACACTGGTGCAACAAGATGACGAGGGTGTCCCGTTAGTGCCACTTCATCAAAGAGGAATGTTGGATAACTCTATCGAGGACGCGCTTTTTACCATGTTTGAAGATCTTACACCGCAGGAACAACATGCTGTAACTGAA